CATTGCATCTTTTAAATCTTCTGGAATCACTAAATGTTTTACCAGCCCAATATTTGCCTTTGTTAAAAAACTGAGGATGAGATTAAATTATTTTGCTGTAGTCAACACTATGCCACAATTGTTGTCAATAGCACTTAACTTAAACCTGGAACATTCCTTTAAGAATGTATGTATGTGTACACTAGCATGAAGGGGTGTTGTGCCGCTGTGCTTTTTCAAATTTTTCATTAATTAGCGATTTGCTCTCACCAGGGGGTGAAGAATACGAGAGCGACGGAGAGGTTTGGTCCTAATGGATTGTGAAGGCCACCTACCCATAGTACAATGACCACTACTAAATAATCCTACTATCAAAGACCTAAACACACACATATACACAGAGTTAGCAAAGAGTAGAAGAGCAGGAGACAGAAAGTGAAGCAGAGACAAAGAGAGAGGGAGAGAGAGAAGGAAACAGACAGTGGTGGCAAAGATCAAAGCAAGAGAGCCAATGCAGCACAATTAACATGGCATGTAAAAGAACAAGAGAAACACATACACACAGAGCAGTTCTTGATGAGAGAGGTGGGCTCACTGATGGGCCCACTGAAACACACCACTGGCTGAGGACAATGACTGGTCCGCTGGTCATCCAACACACTCTCACGCACAATCAAGTCTGTATGCTAACTGCTAACAATATTGCAAACATGGAGAAACTTTGAAATGTTTTGAAAATTTGTTTAACTTCTATATCCTGTTGAAAGTTGAGGCAGGATATTACAAGGGCTAGTTGCTTTAGGAAAAAAAAAGACAACAGCCGACAGCAAAACTTGATAGCTTGTACTGTGTACAAAAGCAATCAAGATATTTAAAAAATTAATAGACTACAGTTCAAAAAAATTGCATTGGTACTATTTTTAAATGTTTTTGAAAGAAGTCTCTTATGCTTACCAAGGTCACATTTATTTGATTAAAGATACAGTAAATACCTTAATATCAAACTGAATATTCTCAAATCTGCCCTGTTTTTCTGTCTTTCATCTGAACGTCAGGATCATTTAGCAGTAAAAGAAAGCACATAGCATTTCGGCCCATGCCATTTGCGCGACTGAAAAGCTCACTACACCCCAATGACTTCCCTCTCTCTCTTTCTCATCCATCCTCACTTTCACCCCTCCATCTCTAGCAAGTCTTAATTTAATTAAAATATTCCCTCTGCATGCTAAAGCGTAAAGTCTTTTCTTAGTGGAGGAGCTTCATGCAGAGGCCAGTGATAAGATAACAGGGCTTACTAATCAAAACAAGACATCAACTAATCTAATCTAAATCACTAACAATTACCAGCGTGCCAAGCCACGCTCCCTTTTGATCAATGTTTTCTATTAAAAAGTGAAACAATTCAATATTCCGGCAGGCTAATGCACCGAAGCCTCATTAGCACATCGTCCTTGGGATGGAGGCATTGTGAACGCACACACTGACGCTAATTTGTGGTTAATTTACAGCACGAGGACCATCTCCCCTTCATCAGAGCACAGAGGACTTTTGCACGAGAGAGAGACTACGAGAAAAGAAAATATTTTTCTTTGAAAAAAAAAAAATATTTTTTTATTTAGGGCAGCATCACATTGAGGTGCCTTCTTGTTCCTGTTCTTTGATTTCTTATGAATTTCATTCAAGGGCATCTCATTTCCTTTTAAAAATTCATACAGCAAAACGTCTGAATAAATCCGCCACACGCCAGATATTTCATCATGTCCTGAAAACCCCTCCCCTGTGGTTCTGTATGTTTATGCCACTGCGTTTCACACTCTTCTTCCCCTAAAACAGGATGTCAGGAGGAGAACTGAAATGTTATTTGGATGTGGCCTGAGCTTTCCAACGTCAAGTGTCAGCCGTCCTGCAGTACTGAGCTCAGCAGAGCATGTTTATTTAGCGTTTGAGGTTCTCTGACTGGTCACTTCCTACATCACTACCTGGAGTCCTTGAGTAACCCTTAAAGACCTGTCCTGTGTGAAATGAGAGACTCTAGCATGCAGGCTCTTGGCTACAGAATAATATTACTCTCTATTACTTCCTGTCTGACAGGACAAAGGAGCATCCTGAGAGGAGCTGGGAACAGTGGTAAGGACTTACTATACAGGTGTATATGCACTTAGCAATACTCTTTTGGGAATTTTTGGGGAAATCCAGCCCTGGCACTGTAGCCACACAAGCCCACATTACCATGGACACGCACATTCACGATTTACAGTTGTGTATTGTGTACACATGGTGAAATAATATATAAACATTTAATATACGTGACTGGCAACAATGCTTACTACTTTTTAAAGAGCACACGTAGGCCTATATAACAAATTTACACATACAGTAAAGGTATGTGTGTGATTGTGATCTGTGTGTGTGTGACACACATGCACAGGTTCCTCCTATCCTAAGGGTTAAATTAATGGTTAATTAAAGCCACAGTATTAAGAAACTGGCAGCATCTGTGTCAGGGTGTGTCTCTCTCATTGCTGTCTGCACTGGGTCCAGCAACATTCTAGCTTTGAATAAATGACCACACGATTCAGACAAGGGAGAACATAAGTAAGACAATGGCTTATAATTCCTCATCTAACTATTGTATACGAGTGCCTGTAACACAAGCCTATGTTCCACCCTACCTAAGGATTAATTACATACTGTAACCTATGTATGAATGTATTGATATATGAGTAGCTATGTATTCAAAGTAAAGTTCATTACAAATGTCTACAGTACTATGGCTATTGCTATAGGTTTTTAGATGTGTTAGACTACATTGCAAGTAGCCTACAGCAGTCTGTTTATCCTAAATCCCACCTTATCTGCTGATATTTCAGTCATGCAATTCAGTAAAAGGCTAGCTAACACTTGTAACCAATTATCACAAAGCAATGACATTTTCAAATATACGGGGGTTCTACGATAAGGAATTTAAACCTTTTGAAAAGAGTTTGGTTAATTTTACACAGCATTGGACGTAAGAACCCTTTTTTTGCTTTCTTGAAGTTTTGCTGCACCGCCTTTCCTTTTTTTTTTTACAGTCCATTATCTAGCTTTTACTGACAATTAGCTCATGCTGCACTCTCTCCGATGACGTGCTTGATTTTGACTGAACGTCCAATCTGAGTAACCACTGATCGGGTCGGTCGGCCCATCTCGGGACCAAGGCCAGCCGTTGCAGACTGGGCCAAATGCTTAACATTTATTATTATTATTATTATAACCACAGTGAATTCATGCAAGTGATAAAAACCTGTAATCTTTGATAAAGTTAGTTAATAAAAATGCACCTGTTCATTGTTAATTCATGTTCGCTCAGGTCGAATAAATAATATTAACAGATACTGTACAAATTTTGATTTTAATATTGCATTAGTAAATGTTAAAATTAACACTAGCTAAAACTAATAAATGCTTTACAAGTATTTTTCATTGTTAGTTCATGTAAATTAATGTAATTAATTTTAACAAATGGAATCTTATTGTAAAGTATTACCAATAAATGTTTCTTGAGCACATTTGACCGGAGTAATGGCTGCTGAAAATTCAGCTTTGCCATCACAGGAATAAATCACATATATACATTACAATGTAAAAATAAAGTATATATAATAATAAAGTACACACACACACACACATATATATATATATATATATATATAATTTTGTAACTATTTCACAGTATTACTGTTATTATTGTATTTTTTATCAAATAAATGCAGGTTGCGAACATTAAGAGATTAAATCCCAAAGTCCCAAAATTGTGAACAGTCGTGTAAAAACAACAGAAATCTATGAATATCGATATCTAAGCAAAAGTGTGTATGTGTGTGTGAACTTACATCAATAATCTGTGGAGTGTGTGTGGGTGACTGTGCATTAGTGGTGCTTTTGTTTCCAGCCTTCATGGCAGCATCTCTACGGGCCTGTTCCAATAGCAGCCTGGCCCTCTCCTTCAGCTCCTCTTGACGAGACAGGACCTTCTGCAATGCAGAGAAAGAGATTTTATTCAACTTTGAGTGTAACCAAGTTTCACTTTGTATAACCATGATCTGTTTCACCTTCTCTTCACTGGTGTTAGACACTGGGGCGGGTACAACTTCCTGGAAAAAAAAAAACATGACATAAGAACAAATCTGTGGATGCCCCATCACCCTATATGTTGTGCGAGTCAGATTAGAATCTCTTCCAAACGCTATCAGCTTTGCGCTCTCATTACGGGCTCCAGCAAGCAGCTGGTTGGCTGATTGGTATGGCGGTGATTCTGACAGTTGAGAGGAGATAGAGTGACTTTTGCTCCTGATCACTGTTAAGGTATCTACAGGTATCTACACTGTGCAACATATTCAGTAAAACAACCAAATGAAGCACCAACAAACTTAAGGTGGTGCAAACTGTCGCCATGGTAACGCACCTCTCATGTCACTGCTGAGGCCTTGATGACGTCAAAATAAAATCAGGACAAATCTAAGCTGGAAAGTTATTTAGTGGAAGGAATGACAGTGATACATGGCAAGAGTGTGATAAAAGTTGTGCTGCAATACCTGCAAGTGTGTGTGTGTGTGTGTGTGTGAATGTGTATACGCTGTATAGATGAGGAGAGGCTCTCATGCGGAACACGCTATAACCCATGTCAGTATTAGAGCTGCAGGCGGAACGGCCCGTACATAATGACATGCCACTCCGAGTGACACGCGGCTGCTGTCTGTGCCGATCAGGCGTCTCAAAAAATGGCAAAAATATCAAACATGTAAAAAGCTTCAAACTGTTTTATGTGCTTTGATTTTATATGGCAGTTTTCCCATTTAAGCTGTAACTGGTTTTCTGTTGGAAGTGTTGAGGGAATTATTAATTTAACATGCATGCTACCTGTGTTAGTTACCTACAATTGTGTGTATTTACAGTGGGTATAAAAAGAGAATTCCCCCCCCCCCTTTAAAATAATCACATTTTGTTGCTTTGCAGCCTGAAATGAAGACGGACACCGTTTTTGTTATAAAAAATGCTATATTTACTCAGTGCAACTAATAACATCTAAGTGAAAGATATAACACCAACATGTCAGAAAAAAATTACAAAACCAGAATCACTGAATTGGAAAAAGGATCAGCCCCTTATGTCAGTATTTTGTTGAACCACCCTTTTGCTTTAATTACAGCCTTTAGTCTGGTGGGATTTGTCTCTACTAACTTTGCACATCTAGACTTTGCAATATTTGCCCACTCTTCTTTGCAGAACAAGTTCAGTTAAATTTCTTCCACTTCTTAATAATAGACTTCACTGTGCTTCTAGGCATTGATAAAGCCTTTGAAATTTTTTGTATCCATCTGCTGACTTGTGCCTGTCCACAACTTTATTCCGGAGATCTTTTGACAGTGCCTTGCCACCCATAGTTGACCGTTTGCTTCAGATACACTAGCAAGGACTTCTGACATGTTGGTGTTCTATCTTTCACTTGGATATTATAAGTTTCACTGAGTAAATGCAGCTGGATAAAACAAAAACTGTGTCCATCTTCATTTCACGCTGCAAAGCAACAAAATGTGATTATTTAAAAGGGGTGATTCTTTTCTATACCCACTGTATGTTTGATGTTGTTTGCTTGTTTGGTTTGGTCATTTTGACTGCTCAACAGGGTTCTCGCACTTTCTGACCAATGAATTTTCATAATGAGAAAGAAAGAAAGACAGACAGACAGACAGACAGACAGACAGACAGACAGACAGACAGACAGACAGACAGACAGATAGAACATTTTGCTCAGATTTATGTGAATATGTAAGCACGCTTGTGTTGACAATTACCTGAGTGAGTTTAGCAGGTGTGTGTGTGTGGTTGGTCTGGGCACTGCTGTCTGAGGTGCTGTCAGATTCAAAGTGGCGCAAACTCGCTCTCTTCTTCTTGATTAGATCAGTGTCTCTGTTATATGTGAAGCCCAGTTTGTGTGTGTTTGTTAGAGAAGACCCGGTGTGCCACGTGGGTGACCCAGATTCAGTTTGTCTTTCGCCAGGCCGTGGGGTCTCGTGCTGCTCCCTGGAGTCTCTGGTGTCAGCGGCGGTCAACCCACCCGACTGCCCGCTCTCCTTTTCTCTCTCCAGCCTGTGAGACGGGCCACCCATGTCCAGTGTATCGGCTTTGAGGAGTTTTTTCTGTTCTGCAGTGGGAGGTTGGCTGGTGGAGGTCTCCAGGCTGGTTCTGGTGCATTGGGTGGGTCGTGGGTGAGGTTCAGTGACGGTTGGTGCTGCTGGAGAGACACGGTCTGCCGTAGACGCCCGTAAAGATGGAACTACATCTTTTAGAACTTCCCCTGGGAAGGCGGATAGAGAACCAGATCCTCCGCTTGTCATGACTGACTTCACTTCCTGCTCTTCTTTAACACCATGACCACCATTGGTTGCTGCAGCACCCTGATTAGTGGGCTCACGGTGAATGTCGTTAAGTTCGGCGTAGAACTTGTCTTGGTCGATAGAACTGTTTGTGTCCGTTTCAAAGTCTCCAACTTTGTATGTGCTACAACTGCTGTTGGCTTCGATCTGCACAACATTGAGTTCCTCACCGCTGAAATGTGCCCGGATCTGATACAGGTATGTCATCACCGTCAGCTTATCCGGGATTGCCAGCAGAACCATGTCAGATGGCTCCAGAAGCCGAGAGATTCCCAGACTGGCAAAGCCATCATATGCCTGCATACACAAAAAACAGATGATGTTGAAAATAAAGCATAGACAATAAAGGACTGTATGAAATGAAACAATAAAGTAAATAAATAAAACAAGAACTGGTGGACCAAAAAAGAAGGATTGATTGAAGAAAAAAAAAAGGATTTAATTTCAGTTGTGTTATTCCTTTGTAACAAACTAAAACAACACTACAGCTGAATATAGGGTGCAAAATTTACTTTAAATTCTAAACTAAACTAAACTAGAATAAATCTGTCAACCCAATCATTCATCAAAATAACTAAATTAAGTCTGGGTCAGACAATAATTCTTCTAAATTAAAAATAAACCAAAAAAAAAAAAAAATCTGGATCAGACAATTGTTCTATAAAATGAAAAATAAATAAATAATTAATAAATTGTAAATAAATGCATAAACAATAGAATATATGACAGAACATATGACAGAGTGATCGATAGAGACAGTATGATAGATACGAACTGATATTTTTAAAATAAAATAAAACTTGTCAACCAAATCATTCATTAAATTAAATAAACAGACTCATTCTATAAAATTAAAAGTAAATAAATAAGTAAATAAACAAATAAATAAATAAATATGGATCAGTCTATTCTATAGGGTTCTAAATCTATAGACCTAAAATAAAATAAAAAATGAACATGTTGCGGGGTTGTTTTTTTTTTAAAGAGTCTTTTACAGATTTATTTATCAAAGTCAATTATTATATTTGGATTATAGTGGGTGTTAATTTGGACTACTTGAGGGAAGTTGGAAAGGGAGGTTTAAGAGAGAATATATAGCAGGCTGTCGGAAGAAAGGGAAGGATGAAATAAATATGAGGTGGGATGGGTAGTGCATTAGTTGAAATAAAGGTGAAAGGGTGAAAGGGACAAACGTTGGAGGGTGAGGGGGTGAAAATGAATGGTTGGGTGCAGGGTAAAATGGTAAACTATAGGCTGTAGAGTGGGAAAGAAGGTCAAGGTACAGTATGGGATGAAGGAAAAAGAAAACACAGGGTAAAGGGTGAAAGGGAAGAACAGGGCTTGTAGGGTGATGGGAGGGAGGGACAGTTAGGGTGTAGGGTGCATGCAGGAATTAGATTTGGGATAAGACAAGCTGGGATCAGTAGGATGCGGCAGGCGGTGACAGCTAATGTCAAGGATGGTTCTCCATGATAAGAGAGCACGATACCAAGAAACACTAAACTAATCCTGCCTCAGTCTTATCGCATACATCTCCCACTCGCCCTCCTTCCATCTCTCTCACTTTCTCTCTCTCTCTTTCTCCCCCTTTCCGTCACTCTCTCTCTCTCTCTTTCTCTCTCTCAGCAGTGAGTATAATTGCACTGATTTGTCCGGTTGAGGAGAACAGGCAGATAATCAAACAGCCAAACTCAATCCCTGATCAGGAGATAGAGGGAGAGAGAGAGAAAAACGGAAGGAAGAAGTTAAAGTAAACTGGCTGACATTATCGCGATAATCCACCGAATGAATGAAAAAAAGTTACTTTCTCTTTCTCTTAAGAATTTGAGAATACAACAGTATAAAGAAAAGCCTACAAATTAACCTTCTGTCTCGCCCTCCCCCGATTCGCTTTATCAGAGCTGCTATCAGAGTCGAGCTGATGGCCGAGAGAATTTCACTCTGTTGACAAATGTTGACTATTGTCTCAACCTCTGCCGTTTACCCATCTACTGACTTTATCAGGTTTGTCCCCTTTATTGCCGTGAGTGAGAGAGAGAGAAAGCAAGAGAAAGGGTGGGGAGGGATAATCAAAGGAAAGCCTATTCTCAATTTACAATTAATCACATCTTTCTTTCTCTCGTGCCTTCTCGTTTGCTGCAGGCTAACAATAGCGATGGTGATGCAGAGCTTTGCAGAGTGAGGGAAATGTAAGGTACAGACAGCTGAATAGAAAAAAGGGGAATGAATAAGGGTGGGGAAACAAAAAAAGTCTGCAGGTATATGTTGTTTGGGGTTTAGCTCTAAAGAAAGAGTGTATAATTGGTGGAATGAATGAAACTAAAGTGTCTGCTGGAGATTCTTAAACTTGAGCTACATTCACACTGCAGCTGAATGTGACCCAAAACAAAATAGTATCTTTCATATGTGAAATAAAAGAAAAAAGAAAAAAAAGAAAAGAAAAGCAAAACAGTTTGTGACCGGAGAGTATAAATGAAACATGAAAGAAGTCTCCTATATGCTCAGCAAGGCTGCATTTAAAAAAAAAAAAAAAAATACAGTAAAAACAGTAAAACTAAAAATTATTATTGCAATTTAAAATAACATGTTTTATGTTTTAATATATTTAAAAAAAGTAATTTTTTTCTGTGATAAAGCCGAATTTTCAGCAGTCATTACTCCAGTGTCACATGATCCTTCAGAAATTATTCTCTGAAAACACTAATTTAGTGCTGAAGAAACATTTCTTCTTACTATCAATGTTGAAAACTGAAATTTGTGTTACATTTTTCCAGGATATTTCGATGAACACCAAATTGAAAAGAACAGCATTTATTTGAAACAGAGACATTATAAATCATTATAAACGTATTTACTGTCAACTTTGATCAATTTAACATGTCTTTACTGAATAATAGCATTAATTTATAAAAAAAACAAAAAAACAAAAATCGTACTGATCCCAAACTTTTACCGGTAGTGTATAAACATATAATAATAATAAAGGAAAAGGAAATATACATAGTGAATCAAAGGATAAAATTATATATAATATTTATTTATATTTATTATTAAAGTAATTAAATTATCATTATTTTAATTTTTACATAGATTATGAAGAGTGTATGTATCAATGTTTATTTACAGAGAGCATCAAGCTGCCTGGGAGAGGGAAAAAAAGAAGAGTGTCTCTGTGTGTCATTGCTTTAGTCTTCAAAACAACAAATCATGCTTGATTAAAATAAATATACCATGTAAACAGCAGTTTGTGTGCAAGTGTGTGTTACCAAACACATCCAGATGAATTAAGACCAAAAACATGCTGCTGATGTACTGCATTAATAACTACAAAAGCCATTTATTCAACTGACAGAAATGTGCTGTTTGCTCTCTATCTGTGTATAAATGATGCAGCGGCACTAATAACCCGTGTGAACTGTGTAATTGTGTGTTTAAGACTTTCCCTTCCTGCTCCGGACGGTCAGCCCCTCCCCCACGCTAAACGGACAATGAAAAGCGTTTTGTTTTGTGAATGACATCGCTGAATGATTGACAGGTATCCATCGCTGTCAGTCACACACACAGCCAGAGGGGCTTTTCCCCCCTGTCCACACATTTATCGAGGAACACATACATGCACGTGCACACGTGCGTGCACAGATCAGATATCATGGGAAATTACAGCTGGTCTCTCTCTAGACACACACACAGAAAATAATTCTTTTCACTGCCTGTATGACCAAACCGTCCTCTCCTCTCCCCACTGCTATTGATTGCTCTTATCTGTCATATTTCAATGGAGATTATTGCAATCATGGCTGGGCCAGAGAGGGTCGCGCTGCTTCTATCAAATGGAAATGAATGCAGTTTATATATATGTGTGTGTTTGGGGCTGTATAGAGAGTGCTCTTAACCTCCTCATCTTGGGATAGACATTTATTGTTGAAAGACAGCGAAAGGACGCACTCTTCACTGTGTTGGAGAGAGAAAAACTGTGTATATGATAGTCCCAGAACAAGAGAGAGCAGGAAATGAACTCAGGAAGTGACTGCAGGTATTGAGTGTAGGGTAAAGTGATGATGGATGAAAGGAATACAGGGAAAGGAGAGAGTGAGGAGCACATTAAATACACCTAATAAAGTCTAAATGGAGTTCATCTGCAGCGCTCCAGAATACAGTGATCGTTCATTGGAGCGGAATTACAGAGGAATTAAGTTTTAAACATCCACAAATCCAAATAGATTCCAAACTAATCCAGGAAGCAACTCTTCAGCAAATATACATTTGCTCCGTATCGTGCACTGCTGTGCATTGTGTGTGTGTGTTTTGAGAGAGAGGAAGAGAGATGCTTGGAGTGATCCTTGTTGGCACAGCCACCTGGCGGTTTATTTAAACAGGCATTTGAGAGCTGACAGCAACATTCACACCTTCCTCACTCTCTCAAAGCTCATTCGTCATGCACATCCCACTGAAAATTCCTGAATAGATGGAACAAGGTATAATGTAAAACAATAACGGGAGAAAGTGACTAAAAGAAAGTAAAAGAAAAAAGGAGGAATGGGAGGGGGTGCAGTGCAACAGATTCTGTCTTTTTTTTTATAAAGGTTCCATCCAGTGTCACATGATCGTTCAGAAATCATTCTAATATGCTGATTTGGTGTGGATCAAAATGCAATTACTGTATCCATATAAAACTATTGTTAAAAAATAAAAAATAAATAATAATAATATTTCAAAAGTCTATAAGGGCTTGGGTTTGGTGTAGAGATTATAAGTATTATAAGATTATAAGTGCTTAATTTAAAACAACAGAAGTTAATGGGAGGTCAAGTATATTTACAAGTTTGTGTGTGTGTCTTCTGTTTGGACCACCTTGGTCCAAAGTGTGTGATTAACATCCCTTTATTTCTCTTCCTTCCCTCCCTCTCTTTCCTTCTCCCTCTGTGGAGAAGCCTGTAAAGTTCATTTATAGCATGTTTATGAATTATGATGCTATCTTACGACTCCCAGGTGACTTCCTTCATCCACACAAACACGAGCAAACACGCACAAACACACACACGCTTTCCATCAGTGTCAGCAGGGGAGCCGCGTTCTGAAAGTGGCAATTAGAGAACGTTGGGTGGGAGTGAATCAGAGTTATAACAAAATAAATCACCTATGAGGAGGATTACTGATGCACAAACAAACGAAGAGAGGAAGAGAGTGTGTAGCATTTACCTTTTTGTTGTTTTCTTTAATATCTTGAGGATTGAGAGCCTTGTAGTCACTAGGAGGGAGGAAAGAACAGCAAGAGAGAGAAAGTTAGCTTTAAATATGCGTCTCATGTAATGGCTGTAACATGCAATTTCACAGCTCTGCAATCAACACAACTAATAGAGTGTGCGTGTGTGCAAGCAAAATTAGTCACACACACACACACACACACACAAAACCTTTACTCAACCACTCAACACATTAAACGTTTCATCTCTCATTCTCCATCACACTACCCACTGTGTGCCTGGGGTCTTTCCTCTTCAGCAGGGGAAACAGTAGTGGGCTACTCTAAAAATGGACAATATCCTTCATTTTGCTTATATCATAAGCCTCAGCATTCACTACATGTCATTCAAACCTTGATGTGGGCTGTGTACTGTCCCCTGGGGCACAATGTGCTTTAAAAGCCCTCTGAGGACTTTCTCTACATGAAACAGCATTTATAAACACACTTCACTTCTGTAACAAGCCACATTTTTAGTTAAACTGCATATTAAGCTGGTAATACTGCACATTTTATTCAGTTTGATTCTATCTTGAAAAGTATACTACAATATTATTAGTTAATACTTCTGCCTGCATTCTTGGTTACAGCAACAGAAAATTCATTGCAGAGATGAAGAAATTTACTTTTTTTCTGGAATAATGGTCACTGATCACTCATGCACTATATGATAAAGCGTGAAGCAAACAGCAGGTTGTCTCTCAGGTTGTGTGAATAGTGCGAGTGAAAGGTGCAGAGAAAATGTCAAAAACGTTGTCAATAAATGTTTCGTAAAAATATCAAAGATAATAAATCAGTCAATATCTTCCTTAAAGGTGCAATAGGTGATTGTCTTCAGAAATTTTTTTTGTTATGCTGGTTGAAAGTCGTTTCATATCCCGATAGCAATCATTAAGTTAAGTGGTCTAAATGTATTTGTCTGTATTTATATATTCTGTGGAAGGCGTAGGATCAAGAAATGTTCGTCCAATCAAAACGCTTTTTAATATGCTTTCCTACCTGCCTGTCAACGTATGTATTAGCATACCTCTGCGCACCCAGTTCGCGCAGACAGGATACGTCATCAGCACGTTCAACAACCCGATCTTTCTTCCTGGTATTGTAGTACTTTTAAAGATTTCTCACCGGTGAATGACACATGATGTAGCCCAGCGGTTAATCCAGTCCTCGCGCCAGCTCGTTAGAAGTGAGCTACGTGCATGAACTGTGTTCCGATCGATATCCCTACACAGTGTTCATTGCTCCCTACTCCCCTGAGCAGGGGAAATCCGTTGAAGTTTACTTCACTTCGGAACATGGGCTGGAATTGGGAACCTGATAGCCTATTGTAGTAATGTTGTCTCTGGTCTGTGAGAGTAAATGCGTTCAGGGGGCGTGGCTTTTGCTCCCTACTGCCTGAGGGGGGGAAATCCGTTGAAGTTTACTTCACTTCGGAACATGGGCTGGAATTGGGAACCTCTGATGTAGCCTATTGTAGTAATGTTGTCTCTGGTATTCTGGTCTGTGAGCGTAAATGCGTTAAGTGGGAGTGGCTTTGGACGGCGATTGCAGGTTCGCTTTAAGTGCTATCAGGCTAAAATTAGCATTTTCCAAGATCTCCTACTGCACCTTTAAATAGATGGCGGCCAGATTCCTGGTACTTTAGCGTATGCTAAACCCAGAGGGTGGCTGGCCGTGGCGCTGTCAGCACTGTGATGAATCTGCTGTAAGTGTAGTAATTAAGGAGGATTTGAGTCATTCCTGATGAGACCAGACACAGAAATGTTCAGAAATAAGACAGAGGGATTAAAAACTCTCCATAATAAACCATATTAGACCCCCCACACAAAGTGAGATTCTCACAGAAGGGGAGAGAGAGAGGTGAATTAAGAGAGTTGTGTATATATACAGTTTAGGGCTGTCGCTATTAATTATAAAAACGTTATTGAGTAATCTGATGATTCAAAGGCATCATCAAAGGCAACAACTGAAAATCATTCACTCACCTTCCAAACCTCTATGACTTTCTTTCTTATGTGAAACACAAAAGACAATATTACAATTTTCATTTTTGGGAGAGGTATACCTTTAACGTGGGGTAAGTTGAGTCAGCACCCCATGCTCTAAACATGGGTACTGCTGACTGAACCACCTCAAGAAGCACTTCCTGTGTGTAATGATGCTTGTATAAAAGTGTGTATCGTCATGAATGTGCATGGCTTACATTAAGTTGGGTCTGAAGTGGTGTAACAGGGCACAGAATGCTAGTCCATTTCTCCAGGAAGTGGTGAAGTTGGTGATTTTGACGCCTCTATAGTTTTTCGTGACCTCACGGCACCAGGCCAACAGGGACTGACTTGCATTCGGCCTCCCACCAAGAACAGGACTAGGAATTGGACTGGGCTATAGAGAAGGAGAAAGAGAGGGAAGGATGTAGAAAAAGAGAGATTAATATGTGCTATTGAGATTAAAATTATTAAAAAAATTAATGACATGTCAGCTTTGACTTGGAAATGAACATACTCAGATGTCTGGATCAATACATCTCACAGACTATTTATTTATCAAAACACTAATAGAAATATGTTCTAAAATATATTACAAATATATTAAATATACAAGATTAAAAAAAAAGAAAGAAACTTTTTTATTTTCATTATACACAATAGGAATGTGTTGCATAACGTATGCAGACAAGGGAAACAAATGAGAGAAACACAACTTCTTGTAATTATACGGAAACATGAACTGTACACTAAATTAATAACTCATTTAGCCCACGCTTTGACCATTTTTTCAAATACAGACTAATTTTCTCTATCCCACACACACACAACCCTCTTATTGTCCCTTTCTTCAAAAGTCCTTAAATTCCAATCAAGAACATCAGATCCAACCCATCTCTCTCCAATTAGCTTTGTAAACTCAGCTTTGTTAAAAGTCGCTTCTGTTGAACCCTCTGTCTAATTTGAACAAACACACACACACACACACACACACACACAGAAAAATGCATACAAAAGACTTACATGCTCATTCTAATGAGAGCTTTGGTCTGTAAGGAGTGTATGACCATGGATAATGAAAACACGTGATTAATAAAGACCAGCCTTTGAAGCTGTATCAGTCTGGATTAAGAGTCCAACTAAACGGAGGAACGAGAATTCTAATCCCGCAAATCCAGAAACACAAAGCGGCAGAACCCCTTCGCACCGGGAGTCTGGCCACTTTCGGACATAATCCCGTTAAAAAAGGAGCCGTCGCGTTACGGATATGGTAACGCTCAAAATTCATATTCTGTGGTGCAGGCGCACGCATTTTTCTCCTCACAATAACTTATAATCAAATAGCCCTAGACAAAACTTGCAGCTATCTGATGAATGCAGCCCAGATAGATTCCACATCTAAATACAAATCTAACATGTTATAAAAGAGTGCTCATCCAGCAGAAATACATTATCATAGGACAGGTATCTGTATGGATCTGTGTGTGCAAAGGAAGAGAGACGCTGCCATTCCACTGATAAGAGTGCTATAGGTCAACTGGTCAAGATTTCACGCATGTACGGCAGCTTAACACCGCCCCCTTTTGGACAGAATCTGCTACTGCAGGAGGATTCAAGGACGCACAGGCTTAAAAAATGCTTGTGAGGGGCCCAGAGCAGACTTATGTAAATCACAGACCAAAATTCAAAAACAACAATGATATTATAAAAGGGAACCGTGACAACCTAAAGGTGTGGTTTGAGTAGATTGGCTAGACGCTGAAGCTGTAACTTCCTTTAAATTCTTCGAATGCTTGCCTCTTAGATTATCATAATTAAATGCTAAGATCGGAACGAATGCCAGGGCAAGTGTGTTATTTTTGTGTGTTTATACATCTGTCTGCACAATCTGAAAGGTTAAGGTTGTCTTGAAAGAGCAGGAGGGAAAAGTCAAGTGAGGAGCCCTTGGGGCTCCGAGAGCCTTTCTACTATCGAGAGAGACATGCACACACACACACACAAACAGACTTATAACAATGCTCAGGATTCCGCCACAACAGTAAACACAGATCAATACAAACAAATTCCCAACAATGAACAATAGTTATTAGGAATGTTTTTACATCATTTGCTGTCATGTACATTTACATAGTCTAAACCTCATTTAATGTAGAACATAACTGATAAGCAAAGCTCATTTTGTTTTATTCTTCCTTTTATTTTACTGTTGTACCTTTTGTGACTGGCACAATCTGTTAAGTGACATCAAACTAGGATTCAAGAGTCTCGCTTCAACCATTTAATTATGAAAAGCATATTCCCCTTATTAAAGGGTCTCATATTCAATCAGAGATCAACAACTGTGATTTATCCAGAGCAGAAACTAAGTGTGATGAACTGAATGGACTAAACAAGTATTCCCAGCATACACTCACATGCTACATGGGGGTGGGGAAGAACACGTTAAGCTCCACACAAATGCAAAACCCGCAACCACTTATCCATGTCACTTTTCCGGCATGCATGATAAGAGAGCTGTAAGTTCCTGAGGCAGTCTTTGCTCCTTTTAAGAGATGTTTGAAGTAGCGGTCTAATTTCAGCTCAATAATTACCTGGGATTACCGGCCAGGTGCTATTAAAGCAATTAGAAGACAACAGCCGTTTAGGAGCGCTCTTTAGGCTAACAGTACGCTGTGGCACATTTACGCGGCGGGAGGAAAACAGTAGCACTGACACACCAAGACACGTTTAAATTCCCAGGAACCATGGCTGTTATTTCATTCATCCTCCACCTCTGTGAGGTGGGTTGATTCTAAAGCATCTATCTGTTTTACAGTCAATGACTGAAATGACCTATAAAAAACACTTAAGACTCACTGTTCAATTTTGCTAAACTTGCCACACTTGCTAAAGTATTCACTGAAAACTAATGAAGTGTTCCCCAGTAAATTACTGAATTGTTCCTCTGTATAATACTGAACTGTTCCCCTGTAAACTACTGAACTGTTGTGATGTTCAAATATAAACTGCTGAACTGTTCTCTTCAGATATACTGAACTGTTGCATTGGTAACTGATAAAAATATAAACGACTGACTCACTGCAAACTTTATTAAATTGAAAACTGAATGCCTCAGATATAAACTGCTGAAATGTTTCAAAACCTTTTTAAATATAAACTTCTAAACTGTTCTCTTTTCAACAATACTGTTCAAATATAAACTACTTAATATCTAAACTGAACTGTTCTTTTTTAAAAAGCAACTGCTGAACTGCACTACTGTAAACTGTTGCAAAAACTGCTTAATTGTTTACATGTAAACTGCTAAACTGTTTGATCGTAAACTATAGTGTTCATTTATTAATTACTGAATTAAGTAAACTAAACTTGTTTAAACAAACTGCTGAACTGTACTATTGTAAACTGTTTCAAAAACGGCTTGATTTTTAAAAAATGTAAACCGCTAACTGTTCTGTTGTAAACTACTGTTCAAATATAAACTACTGAATTGTTTAAATATAAACTGAATTATTCCATTTAAACAAACTGCTGAACAGTACCATTGTAAACTGCTTAATTCTCGCGAATGTAAACTGGTAAACTGTTCTAATGTAAACTATACTGTTCAAATGTGACCCTGGACCACAAAACCAGTCATAAGGGTAAATTTTCCTAAATTAAGATTTATACATCATCTGAAAATTGAATAAATAAGCTTTCCATTGATGCATGGTTTGTTAGGATAGGATAATATTTGGCCGAGATACAACTATTTGAAAATCTGGAATCTGAGGGTGCAAAAAAATCAAAATATTGAGAAAATCGCCTTTAAAGTTGTCCAAATGAGTTCTTAGCAATGCATATTACGAATCAAAAATTAAGTTTTAATATATTTACAGTAGGAAATTTACAAAATATCTTCATGGAATATGATCTTTACTTAATATCCTAATGATTTTTGGCATAAAAGAAAAATCAATAATGTTGACCCATACAATGTATTTTTGGCTATTGCTACAAATATACCCCAGCGACTTAAGACTGGTTTTGTGGTCCAGGGTCACAAATATAAACTGCTGAACTGTTTCACTGTCAAATTCAGGGTTCAGATGTAAACTACTGAACACTTCTCCTGTCAATCACTGAACTTTTCTACAACAAAACATCAGAATTGCACTGAAATTACAAACTGATCAAAAATCTAAATTCAAAATGATCATTCCATTTCATCATTCCATGATGAAGCAGTACTTCATTGTTCGAACTGAACAAAAAACAGTTCTGTGGAAACTGTGTAAAAGTTCTGCCTTCATTCGCAAGCTCACAGCACTGAGTGCACGTTCTTACTGAACTGCATGTATCTACTGAAACAACACTGACGGGGATTTCTGGTGTCACATAGAGCGCGTGTACTTATCAAACGCTGCGCTGTCTTGCCCTGAGCAGTGGTCGCGGGGGGAGGGGGGTGTGGGGATAGGAGGAGAAAAATAAAAGATTGGCAGCGGTGTGTTTCTGTGCTGGAGGACAAGATTACAGTGCTGTTTCTTTCCACAAACAGTACATATTAAAATGAAGATGCATTCATCACTATCCAACACACACACACACACAAAGGAAGGAAAAAACAAAACAGCAAAAAAAAATCATGCAGCACATTTCAACATCTGCCAAAAATAAGACGGAGACAGAAAAGATATTCATTATTCATGATGGCAGCGAATGTACACACACACCTGACACATGGTGGAGGACAGGGGTGAGGAGGGAGGAGAAGGTAAAAAGAGATGAGGAGGGGGAAAACTTAATCTGTGTTGAATGAGAGTAGGAAAGATGAAGGGTGAGAGAGAGGACGGAGAGAAAGGGTTTGGCAGAGGAACTAGGAGAGGTCATGTGATCAGCACGGTAGTCTTATGCTTAAAACCGTTGATCTGAGCAAAAAAAAACTCTTAATCAACTGTCATTTATTGCACATTCTATTAATGTGCTCTTAAAATGAAATTTTCCTGCTGTCACACTAAACATTTTAACCTAGAGACCTCTAGGGCCCAAACATATTCTGAGAAATTCAACAGAAATGCAAGGAAAAAAAAGACATCATTAAACTGATGCAATCACACACACAGGGCACCAAAACAGCGGAAGCTTCAAATCACACACATACTCTTTAAAAGTTGTAATCCACTTAAGGTGCCTGTGGCAACATCTATCTATGGCGTGTGTGTGTGTGAGGTTAGCACTCTCATAACTCTCTTAAACACGAAGCATACTCTGGTCTTAGAGAGCTGACCCATTGCATCAGTTCAGATTTGGGGCGGTCATTTGACTCGTCAAGATGTGGTCCAATTAGTTCAATTATTTACTGTCTTGTACCAATGTGTTTGCTTCCTGTAATAGTTTTTCAGTTATTCAACTGCACCT